TACCAAGAAAATGCCAGGGATATTAAAAATATGGTATGAAGATGGAATGTCCGATTATGATAATGTTATAACTTCATCAGTTGTAAAAAAGGTTCTCCACTCCTGTAAGATTTAGACTCAGATGATGTAATACATTTATATTCAAATTTCCCATGCAATATTACAATAAGAACGTTATTTTGCCACGCCTTTGTAGTGCGTCAGGGTAGTAAAAGAATGGACAAAAAAATACACTGTAAAACCAACCTCAAAGTCGATGGTCTCTTCTGACATTTCCCGCAACCACCTTTCGCCATTTCGATCCCCGTAACACGCTCGCAAAGAGGGAACCTTTCTGGAGAAAAATGAAAGGAAGAGCGATAAGTAACCATAAATAAGAGAAGGAAAAAAGAAATTATATTGATGAAGAATCATATATTTCTGTGTGGTTTTATATAAAGATGTATATGGAGAAATGTGGAAAATAAGAGAAGAAAATGAGTAAATTATGTTAATGAAGAATCATATATTTCAGTGCGGTTTTATAAAAAAAGATGCATATGGAGAAATGCGAGCTCGTCTAAGCAACTAAGAAACAAAAAATAATTACAGAGGGCTTGTTCAGAAAGAAACCATCACTTATTTTATAAATATGCCTATTGAAATTATAAAGTAGTAACACCTGTAAAACTACATGGTTCGTGGCATTACAGTACCGAAAGAGGTGTCTCAGTGCTTGAACAACGTGGTCCTCGAGTAAAGGTTCGCGAGTGGACAGTCCAAGTTGGTAGCACGTTGTGAATGGCTCGAAGAATCTTTCTGTTGTAGTGCTCTTCCATAACCATTTTACTTCCCCTGCCATCGCCACCCTTGAAGAGAGAGAAATGAATAGGTACCAGGAACTGTATTGAAATTATCGGTCTTTTTAACAGTTTGATTACAATAGTGCAACTTCTGCATCAAAAACATAATTATGAGTTGCCTTTCCTGAACTGTACTGTAATTATAGTTTTTTTCAACATAGTTTGATTGCAATTGTGCAACTTCTACTCTAGAAATGTATTTGATTAATTGGTATTCATATAACTGTGAGTTGCCTTTCAAAAAATGTAAAACAGAAGAAAATGGGAAAAAATATAAAATACCAATTCCAATTCCTATGTAAACACAAACAAGGAAACGGACCATGTGCTTCCTTTTTTTAAGAGGCCGTCTACAACTACAACTTTTAGAAAGACTTTCTATGCTTTTGTAAAGAAAAGTGAAATGATTGAAATTATTTTGTTTTAGGTGATGTATGTTAAATTTTATAACAGCACATTTGGGATAGTGTGTTTGTGTGTGTATATGTGTGTGTGTGTGTGTGTGTGTGTGTGTGTGTGTGTGTGTGTGTGTGTGTGTGTGTGTGTGTGTGTGTGTGTGTGTGTGTGTGTGTGTATTATATAGATATATAGATAGATGTATGTATATGTGTGTATATATATACAAATATACATATGTGTGCAATAATGTATATATATATATATATATATATATATATATATATATATATTAAACACACACACACATATATACAAGAAAACACGAATATACCGGCCTTTCGCTGTACGACCTGAAGAAACAGAGCAAAAATATATAATATACATATATATACATACATACATATATATATACATACATACATATGTGTATGTGTGTGTGTGTATACGTGTGTGTGTGTGTGTGTGTGTATATGTATATATATGTGTGTGTGTGTGTGTGTGTGTGTGTGTGTGTGTGTGTGTGTGTGTGTGTGTGTGTGTGTTGTGCGCGCGGCGCGCGTATTAACATTGTCATCGTCGCTTCGTTCTTACTGATGTTCTATTCACAATCAACTTGTGTGTGTTTGGTCCATATGTGTGAATTCTTACAATATCAATGGTGGTTAAAGAGACTACCTTGCAGGATGCCAAAAAGTACATTTCTTCGATCAGTATCTTATCTTATCGAAGTGCTGTGCCCTTACAGAGATTGACGACTATGGATTGCCACACCTGTCTCTCCTGTCGTTTGCAGTATATGCGTTACTGTTTCCACCTCCTACTGCCCTTCTTATTCCATCAATGTATTGTACTTGCCCACAAATTCAGTGAGAACATTTATAAATAATCTTTCTATATTTGAAAACAAGCTATATAGAGGTACCCTATTAGTAAGACTTCCATGCGATTTCCATTTCCAGAATAAAACAAAATAACACTGGTTTAACCATCCTACCTGACAGAAACAACCGCAGTGTTGGTCCAACTGCCGCCGCCCGTTGAAGACTTTTAACTCTGAACGAAAACGCTTCTAGGGGACAGATGACCATATGTTTTTCTTTTATAAATGTAACGTTTAGATTCAGAATTTAACGTCAGTACTGCTGGACCGAATACGTCAAGTATAAGCGAAGAATTATGGAGCGCAGTAAATATACCCATAGTTAACCTTGGATAGCCTGTCAGGAGTTGCAACGCCGCATACTTTTTCACTAATTTCAAGTTGTTCTATAATCATTTGACTTGTTAGTTTGTCATGTGTTTGGTAAATTTAGGTTTTAGAAGCGTGAGATATACTTCGGGAACGCTTATTCTATGTGAGTTGTGGTAGTGACAGCTACGCGTCTCTTTCGTAATACATATATTCTTTATTATACTCGGCGATGTGTTTCGCCATAGTGAGTCGCATCATAAGAAACGAATATAATTATCTTGGAAAAAATAACTTCAGAATAAACATTGTCGTTAGAGATTTGCACCTAATAAATCCTTTAACAATATACACTAGAAGCCTAACATAGCAACGCCTGTGGCACCCAAGGTTAGTGAAGGAACCCAACACCCCTTGAGGCTTGATCTATAAGAAAAAGATAACAGCACGTACAATGTTAGGATCAGAAAGACAGCGGGGAACCAAGGACGCTTTACTACTCCTGGAGCAGACCTCGTTCTTTTTGCATATTACAACGTAAGTAAGGAGTCTACGAGAAATGTATATGTAGTGGCAACAGACAGACAAAAGACAAAAAAAAAAAAAAAAAAAAAATATATATATATATATATATATATATATATTATATATATTATATATATTATATATACTAATAACTTCGATATCGCTGTTGTATATTCAGAAAATTAAATTGTCATCTTCATATACGATTTATTTCGCCATTATAGATTTGAGTACGTCTGATAGCGCGCGCGCGTGTGTGTAGGCATGTTTTACAAGTCTACGTGAGAAAACTAAGAGCCTTGCCTTATCCCCGAATTGGGATTCCCAGCAATAAACAGAAAAAAAAGATGTCTCGAGCAGAATTGCCTTGCTCATCTGACACCCTGACAGCCGTTCTCATCGAGTCGCAACGCACGCCAATTGCGGTAGTACTGTGGCTGGCAAACATAGGAACAGTCTTTCCCTCGTTTCCATGGGAAGAGTAGAATACTTATGCTTATAAAACTGGTCGAGTCCGACTTTATATGTTGAGAGAATGGTGTGTTTAGTAAACACGGCTTGAATTAGGAGTTATGAGGGTAGTGTAAATGGCAAGAACTATGTGCTTCTCTTCATTTATGTATAAAGCGCTAATTTAATAATTTACTAGCGAAAAGAGATTCATCTGTATCGCATTACAACTGCATTATATTACGGTTGTATTACCTAGAGATTTTAATACCTTAAATGCCTAACAGCCTCCCTCGCCACATTAACCTATCCTAACATCCAAATGAACTAACCAAAATAACATTCTTGTTACTACTTCCAACGACTGTTCTGAACAAAACTCACTTCATAACTCGTTCCTGGAATCAGCCGCTTACACAACCACACGCATATAAATTCCTTCTGTATATTTGCGCTTCATATGCTTGGCAATTTGTTTTGTTACTGACACTAGCATCAGCCGAATGACGTAAAGCAAATGTCCTTGAACTATCTACACGCCGCACATTCATTGCTTTGAGCGTCATGAGAATATTGTTACGTAACATTTTGGGGCATTTGTAAGACTTGGAACTTGCTAATATAGACTTTTATGTCGACTGCCTCTGAAATAATGATCAAATAAAAAATAACTTCGATAATAGAGTGGTGTTTTAGCATAGCAACCCGGCCGTACAGGCCAAGCGCAGAGAATCTCATTTACTAATTTTTCCTTTTCTCGGATGGATCATCAAGTTACATCTGCTTTAAGTTATTCATCACGTATGAATGTATTATTGATTGACTGACCGGTCGACTGATAAGAAATGTGGAAGAACTTACCTTAGCATTATGAGGCAATGTCCTGTGTAATTAAGTCAGAAATATATAATTACCATACTACGAGAGAAGCATAAACGTCACATCGACAGACATGTAATAATTTAGAAAGTAGATATTACCCTGCGCAGAAAAATCAAAACAAACCTCATCGTTATGCTGTGTATGATCTTACGTTATGCACAATGGTAGGAATTTCCACATATTTTCCTTCCTTATTAATTACTAGTCTAGCTCACTCTATGTCTTTTTGTTTGTTTTATGTTAACCGTGTGTTTGTTCTCAGATTATCATATTTATTTGGTGTATTAAGGTAATTTTAGTTTGATCATTTTGGGTGTTTGTTAATTCACGGCCGTAAAGTCTCGATCCCGTCCAAGATTCGTGCTTACGAAAGGAAACCTGATCCAATAAACATTGTTTCTTCCTTTCTTTCTTTCCTTTTCTTCTCCCTCTTCGGTCCTGTTATTGACTGAATATTATTAGGTCTTCACAAAGGAGAACTATCTACCGGATGGCGCTTAGATAACCAGGATTGTTTTTGTTTTTTTTCTTATGAAGCACTACCTGAGTACCTGTCCGACACGTGTCTTATTTTCGTGATCTACGTAAGCTCCTATTTTAAGATTTGGGGGGGGGGGGATTATAACGTATTCGCGTAAAACAGTCACTATTCCTCTTACATCTAGGTGTTTGGATTTTGGCTCGCAATCTAGCGTTTATAAAGATTCTTTAATTGCAGAGTTATAGCTCAATTAGAACACGGTGTTATTACCTTGTGATGTGTATTTATTACCTCCGCTAAGGTAGTTACGTTTTTGGTGGCGTTGGTTAGCTTGTTTGTGGGTTCGTTGGTTAGCAGGATAACTCAAAAAGGTATAAATAGAGTTTTCTGAAAAAAAAAAACGAGATATGTCTTATGCTAACTTAGTTGCCATTAAATTTTGGAGGCGATACGGATATCATTTGTTCGTTTGTTACAGGACAACAACAACAAAAAAGAAAAAAGAAAAAAAGTGCTTTCAACAAATTTTCATGAACATTTTACCAGACGTGTGCCTTAGCAAAACTTAGATTCCATTGAATTTTAGTGGTGATCTGAATCCAGGGATTTTGCGAATATTTTTATAGCATGTGACCTTACTGCCATGGCGGTGGCATTGCGATCTTTGAGTGCTCCGTGTTGATATATGTGATATTAGAGCACGTGTTCCCAAGCTGGTTTTGTCTTATCTACAGTACCTAATGATAATTATCTAATGTCAGTACACTGGAATCTGTCCATGTAGTGTTCTTGGTCAATACCTATTCGCATATTTGCACTGTTCATAACTATGGAGATCATTATATATATTGGTCGGCGGCCACAGAATAGAAAAGGTCGGAAACCACTGATTTATGTCATAAGAACACACAGGTACCCTATCAGTTAGGTCACTACCGAAATCGCAATCCTTACATCAATGAAATTCTTACAACGGTAAAGCTAGGTGATGACCTATCTATTTTCTCTGCTCGACTGCTATTTCATACGATAATCCTCGAAAGTTTTTCTTCCCTAAATAAGGTATGTTAATTAAAACGAAACTGAATAATGGGGGTGTATTTTGAAGTCCTACACGAGGATATTTCTATTTTATCATTATTATTTATTATATATATATATATATATTATTTTTTTTTTTTTGGGGGGGGGGCTGTCAGTTGCACATGGTTCAGTCTGGAAGTACAAAGGCCTGCCCGCCCTCACACACACACACACATGCGCGCGCGTGTGTGTGTGTGCTCGTTTGCGTGTTCGAGTGCGTGTGTGTGCCTGTGAGTGAGCGAGTGCGTATATGTGTGCGTGTGTGCGGATGAGCTTGGGGTAAATCATTACTGTGTGTTCAGCATAACTATGTTTTGTGTGTGCGTTTGTGAGTTTTTGCGCGTATTTGCGTATGCGTGTGTATGTCAATGTGAGCGTCTGTGAGTGAGAGTGCGTGTGTGAGCCGGTGTGTTTGTGTGTTAGTCAGCGTGATTGATATTTTGTAATTACAGTTATGCTGTAAGGAGATTATTCTGTAAACATGCGCGTTCTGTAGATGTATACGTGCACACATATATGTTGGGTGCAGTGGCCGTGAGTAGTATTCTTCCTAGCTATTTTGATGCGCTTTTTAAAAATCGCCACATATCCATAATCCCTTCCTGAATTTCCCTGTACTGAACTTCAAAACACAAACATATACGCACAACATACGCAAACAAAAGCCAAAGCCCACACCTACACATACCACCGAGTGCTCTTACATACATAAACAGACGGAAAATTGTCAAAGAAATCATTATGTAAACATTCCCTTTTTACCTTTTTCGCCCTGATTACCACCTAAGCCAGAGTTTCCAACCTGGGTGTCACGGGATACCTTCTAGGGGGCCATAGACCAATATGAAAATTATGACGTCGAACTAAACTGAATTCTATCTCACCTACAGTACATATAATTATCTCTTATATCAATGTATTGGAGTCTTTCTATAGTGTGTTCTTCTCATGTAGCTACTGACACCAATACACCATTCATAATTAGTAATAACTGAATAAAAAAAAAATACAGACACTGAACGGGGCCATGGAGATTATGACCACGGAACGAAAAGAAAGGGAATCAATGCGTTAAAGTGTGCGTTTTATACACAGTATGACACGGCGTTATTGAAATTTAGCATTACACTAAAATATAACCTATTGTCATGTCATTACAAAGATTGTCACGGATAATATCAAACTAATTCCTAAGTAACTTGCTGGTTGTGTTTAAGAATCTTAGACTACGTGGCCCATGTCTACTTGTGGTGGCTGGTGATATATATATATATATATATATATATATATATATATATATATATATATATATATATATATATACACACACACACACACACACACACACACACACACACACACACACACACACACACACACACACACACACATATATATATACATATATATATATATATATAATATATATATATATATATATATATATATTAGTCTTCCCTTATTTTTCTTTAATATGATTTCGATACAGAATTCTACATCCGTCATTCATTGCCAAAGTCCGTGCTAAGAAATTAACTTAAGTGAGCATAAATAAAATTATAAATATGATGAAGGACTAAATGTTTATTCTAGCTTCACTGGAAGAACATTAGACTCTTTAAAAAGAAATTATTATTAAAGTACTGTAGATTGACTAATAGTAAAATGCTTAAAAAAATAATTCACAAAGGAGATTATACATAGAGCAAAGTATTTGCAAACATGGTAAGCCACGAGCTGTGCGGATAGGTGCCCCATGATTGTATGCTTGCGTGCACAGCACACCCATGGGCCATGTCCTCACTCATTCACAGTACGTCACTTTATGCACGGAATATATACATTCAGGAAACAGTGTTAATAATCCCATGCACTGCTTTAACCTTGTCTTCCTGCGACACACATGAAAAATACATTTCATATTGCTACTTTACATAACATTTACCAAGATCCCAGTCCGTCCAAACATTTCATCGAAGAGTATCTTCGCTGATTCTTCATTTATATTCAATGTCTTGAAGTGACGCATGTAGATATTTGAAAACCAACTGACCACACTGTTTTGCGGTCTCTGGTTTAATGCGTTCTGTGCTTTACAAAATGTTGACGGCAAGGCGACTACGAAGTGTGGACGAAATGGCAGAAAGTAGCTGGAACTTTGTGTATGGCGGCAGGCCTACAGATATAGATTGGCTCTGCATTTCGACTACCTTTCATTACCAAATGTGTCACGTCTCCCATGTCGGAGACGGTATAATCAAATTCAAAAACACCGGAATACTCAGGTATGAGTTTCTTGATTGCTTCCTCTGGTAAAGCAGTGTCTGTCGAGATCTTTCTGAGTTCCTGATTCGTCTGCCTTACGTAGTTCCAGATATTTTCGCGAGCGTTTCTGGGCGTTTCTACAGTCACAGGCACGAGCGGCATCACATGACATCTAAGGTATTCACCATCAGAGGCTTCTCCCCAGTATCTACGGGCATTGAAAACGTGGTCGCTGCGGATGTGGTATGTGTCTTTCTCAAGCCCTCCATCCATTAGATCCATCATAGCGTGGTTAGTGATGGCCGTATAAGCTGAGTTGACTGTGACGCCTTCAGCACGACACCGCTTGAGGAAAGAGGCAGTGGTGTCGGAGTCGAAAAACACGGTTTCGAAGCCCGTTGTGAGAGGCATGTCTTCATTGATCTTGTAAGTCGATTTGTAGAACGACTTCTTCTGGCAAGCTTGAAACTCCTTTGTTTGGCGGAGAAGAAGCTCGGAGTTATCCCGTAATGCTTTTACTTTCTCATTTACTATCGCATCTGTCTTCTCAGGTGATACGAAGACTGCAAACTGTTCATTGTCATCGATGGGTCTGCCTGCGCTCATGTCATCGAGGACTTGGGCGAAGAAGCCGCAGATCAACATATTGCTGGTTCCGTCGGTGATAACGTGATGGATACCAATAAATACAGTAAACACGTAAGGATACCCTAGCAAGCTGTCACCCACACTTTCTCGAAATAGTCTGGCGCACCACAGAGGGCCGTTCTTCTTATCAAAACTGTACCGATGCAGCTCTTTGTGTACGTCTTCTCTTGTAACATTTTCAATAACCTAAAATAATAGAAATGTAATTAGCTTCTCTGGTCTTGCTCTAATGCCGTGGCGTAAATGCTAATATCAATAAAGATTTCATTAGACGTGAGGTTTTTCCTTAGATACGGCTTTTTTTATTTGTAACACTCTATGTGTGACATCTGGTGACCTAATTTAGTGTTTTAGGCCCGTACTTTTAAAACCTTTCGCCAGGGCTGGCGAAAGGTTTCGCCGGGCGATCCGGAATTTCGTACTTTTAAAATCATGCCTGGCGAACGTTCGCCAGGGCTGGCGAAAAATCATATTGGAACAGCCTGGCGAAGCAAAGGTGCGAGAGCTGTTTGAATACCATTTTCTTGCTTTCAAATTATAAATTAGTAACATATTTGTGGATGATATGATGTAGGAATCACATTGAAATTATAAAATATCTTAAAATCATAATTTATTATGAAATAAGGTATATACGTATTTTTTTCAAGACCTTCGATGTTCCAGTCGAGAGCTCAAAACATCAGCTGTATTCCTACCCCCCTACCCCTACCCCCCCCGAGATGACTTATTTAGATTTAGGTTGTTGTTATTTTGGTTGTAAGGATAATGTTCGTTTCACAAATATTACCAGAAGTGTTTTTTAAGGCGGCATGTTTACTTTTGGCTATAGAAACATCGCTGTAGTGCTCCACCGCCCTATAAGGAGGCGTGTTTAATGATACCCTTGTAGGCCTATAGCTCAATATCAAATATCAGTTAGGAATAGTAAAATAGTAATTTTTAAACTCTTTTGTTAAAGTATAAAGTTATTTTTTGTATAAAAGTATAAAGTTGATATAGTATAGTATAAAGTACTTTTAAAACCTTTCGCCAATGCTGGCGTTCGCCTGGCGAAACTTCGCCAGGAGAACATCGGAGTGAGGGAGGCCTTACTTTTAAAACCAAGGCAGGTGTTCGCCAGGCCTGGCGAACGTAAGGGATAGGTGCTAACATCTTGTATTCCTGCTAAATCTAGCGCTTCGGCGAATAAAAAAAAACGCGAGAAAAAGCAAAAGGTTTTAAAAGTACGGGCCATAAAGTTAACCTTGTTATAGTATAAAGTGTAGTATAGCATAGAGTATAAAGTTAATTTTGTTATAGTATAAAGATATTTTCAACTTCTTTGTTATAGCATAAAGTTAAATTTTAACTCCTTTGTTATAGTATAAAGTGAGACTATTGCGGAAACAACATTTTCGTCTTCTCTCGAGGTTAATAATTAAGTTGAGGTTATGTTATGTGCACTGCAGATGTAAACAAATTTGCGCTAGATTTAGCGGGAATGCAAGATGTTAGCGCGTGGCGATCCCTTCGCCCGCCCTGGCGAAGGTTGGGTTTAAAAGTAAGGCCTCTCTCACTCAGAGGTTCGCCTGGCGAAGCTTCGCCAGGCGAACGCCAGCACTGGCGAAGGTTTTAAAAGTACGGCCCTTAGTTGTTGCAACACCTTCTGGAAAAGGTACAGTCCTGCCACATATTTGTCGTCTTTCTGAACGGAGCATTGCGTACTGATTATGAAATTTCCAATGTGGTTCTAAAAATGGATATGAAGCATATTTGTGTCAGGTATAACCTGCTTCTCTAACATATGATGATTCTTGGGGGAAAAATCTATCTAATCATCTAATCATATTGGGAAATCACTTACAGGGCCTGAGAAGCGAGCTGCGAAGGGTGATAATTGAATAAATTATCTCCAATCCTAAATCTGCTAGTGTGTACTTTAATTATATTGAGTGGAATTATCTTCTGTATTCGGACTACTAGACTGTATTTGTAACTCATATGCAATACAAACTTTCAGGTTTGAATCGAGACAAAGGGCCTAACATACTATGACTGGATCTTTAACAAACTGTTTAGAACTAAATGAATATGGATATCAGTACTCACAGACTCCTACTTCAGTCACAAGCATAGATCACAAACCCTTGGCTTAATATTATACCAAAAGCCTGCACTTTTCCCTCCCCTACTCAAGTCTACACTCGTGGGTCCAAAACTTTTTTTTTCAGTGATGATACCCTAAGCTCGCGTAGCTTTTTCTGCAGCACCCTTCTTTAACTGTCTGCCATTTGCCTGCATAGGTTTATTCTGTACCAGAGTAGATCTTAACCCATTTCACGAAGAACTGCTGCTTGCAAGAAAATAATTACAGATTATAGTCCTTAATGATAAGAGTAAATTTGAATTCAGACACACTAAATTCAGAAGAAGCATGATACACACTTTACATATGGAAAAAAAAAAAAAAAAAAAAAAAAAAAAAAAAAAAAATATAATATATATATATATATATATATATTATATATATATATATATATATATATATATTATATATATATAATATATATATATTCTTTCTCCCCCGAGTTACTCTACATGGACTTCGCGTGATTGTTTGGAATATTATGGTACCTAACTTGCGAAGTGCTCATCTACACACAATTACTGACAAATCTCCAACTAGTAAACACTTACCTGGAAATCGATTTTCTCCCGCGACATCTCCCTCAGCCAGGCTTCGCTGTTTCGATCCCCGTAACACGTTCGTAATGCTGCTACTTATCTGTAGGAAAGAGTGTTGTTCTGTTTTGCTTTGAACTATTCGGTCATTAGATGTCAGGTACTTCAAAGAATTCTATCTCAGTTTGTTTATTTACCTTACGTTTTTGTTTCTGTTTTATGATTCGAACGAGTCTGACTCTTTTTGTGAAATGGAGCTGACCAAGAGGAGATTGATGGTTTTACAGTATGTAATTTATTGTTGTGGAGTCTTGACCAAAAAGATTGCCATTGTGTATACAAGAAGGTTTTAAAGTGGGGGTAATAATCCGTAGCTGGAATATGTGAGAAGCGTAGTTGAGGTGATGTGGACATTGCGGCATAGCGTGCAAGAGTATCTGCCTGTTCATTGCCAGGGATTCCAACATGGCTGGGTACCCAGCAAAATCTGACAGATTTGTGACGTGTGGATATATTGAACAACCAGTTCTGGATCTTACAGACAAGGGGATTGGTCGAGTGCATAGACTTTATGAGGGTTAAAGAGTTACGGGAGTCGGTAAAAATAGTAAAAGAGGAAGAGGGGGATGAGTATATGCGTCTTAAGGCAAAAAGGAGTGCATACAGTTGTGTAGTAAGGACACTAGATTCAGAAGGGAGGGTGTATTTGAAAGTGCAATTTGGGAATGTTACTGCGAATCCAGCTCCTGAGATGGATTTGGTACCGTCAGTGTAAACATGAATGCTGGAGGAATGAATGGAGACATGAGTGAGAAGGATAGAGGGGGGAATATCTGATTTTGGTGGGTCAGGGAAAACTGAGGAGCAAATACAGGGGTTAGGTATAAGCCATGGAGGAATGGAATGGACAGAAAGTGGGAGAGGTCGGAGGTGAGGAAAGGGGGAATGGGAGAGGAGGGTATCCATGCGTACGGGGAGAGGAGTTGGTAAACGTTGGTAAAAGAAGAGGAAAAAAGCGATTGTGGAATAGTTAGTTTGGTAAGGGAAAATTGGTGAAATTGAGCATAGCATCGGAGAGAGAAAAGGGCTCGACGTCGAGAGAGGGACGGCATGCCAGATTCAGTATATAGGCTCTCAACTGGAGAGGAGCGGTAAGCGCCTAGGGCTAAGCGGAGACCACTGTGGTGGATTGTATCAAGGTAAGACGAGAGGTTGAGGCAGAGGAGTAGATATGGCATCCATAATCTAGAGTGGAGAGAATCAAGGTAACATGAAGATGGAGGAGAGTTTTGCGATCTGAGCCCCAGGATATGTGTAAAAGAGTTTGTAAGATTCGGAGGCGGCGTTGAGCTTTTTCTTTGATGTACAAGATATGGTCTCGCCAGGACAATTTGGAATCAAATATAACGCCTTGGAATTTGCCAGAAGAACGGTATTGGAGTGGAGCGTTATATAAGTAGAGTGGGGGTTTGGGGACCGCACGTGAGCGAGAGAAAAGGATTGGGAAAGATTTGGAGGTAGAGAAGCGAAAGCCATGGCTGGTGGCCCAAGAAGTTACTGATGTTATTGCAGACTGAAGGAATTGATAGAGATGGTATGGATGTGCCAGATGCATAGATGGTTGTCATCAACATATAGTGATGCCCGGGCTCCTGGTGGTAGGACTGAGACTATGTCATTTACAGCAAGAAGGAATAAAGTGGTACTAAGCACACTTCCTTGTGGGACGCCTTCGAATTCAGGAAAGGATGATGACGTGGAAGAGGCAATTTTGACCTGGAAAGTACGTTTAGAAAGGAAGGATTTAATGAAAACGCCCATGTTTCCAAGTAAACCTAAGGAGGACAGTTGTTGGAGGATATGGTATCGCCATGTGGTATCATATGCCTTTTCTTGATCAAAGAATATGGCTAATACGGATTCATGGCGTGCAAATGCCGATATAATATATGTCTCAAAATGGGCAAGTGGGTCTGCTGTACTTCGGGCACGCCGGAAACCAAACTGGGAAGGGGAAAGGAGATTATGAAATTCAAGATACCACATTAAGCGGAAGTTAGTCATTCGTTCTAGTAGTTTGCACAAGCAGCTAGTTAGAGTTATGGGGCGGTAATCTTGGGGTAGGGTACCTGTTTTATTAGGTTTAAAGAAAGGTAGGTAAGAGCTTCTCGCCAATGAGAAGGGAAATTTCCTGACGTCCATATGTGGTTGAAATAGTTAAAAGGAAGGATAGAGAGGAAGATGGGAGGTGTCGGAGCATACGATAGTGAATACCATCAGGGCCTTCATGAGTGTTGCGGCACGACTGTAATGCAGCGTTGAGTTCAGAAGAAGAAAAAGGAACATTATAGGACTCATCAGAGGATAGGGTGAAGGTAATAGGGATGCACTCCTTGATGGCTTTAATGGAAGAAAAGTGTGGGGAAAGGTGAGAGCCACTACTGACCTGGCTGAAAAAGTTGCCCAGTTCATTAGCTACTACGACAGGCTCAGAGATGAGAGTATCTCGAATATGGAGGACGGGTGCAGGATGGGGGGGGGGGGGGATGTTTGCCTGATAATTTATGGATCCGTCGCCAAACAGCTGAAATTGATGTAGATGTAATTGAGGATACATAATTTTGCCAGCTATTTGTTTTGCTGTTTCTAATTGTACGGCGAAGATGGACAGATGCTCTTTTAAAGGAAATAAAGGCTGATAGCTGGTGAGGGGTGCCTCGTTTGTAGCGATAGCCGTTCCAGGCTGCTCGTTTTAAACGAAGCGCTTTGGTGCAATCAGAATTCCACCATGGAACACATTTAGAGGTATAAGGTCTTGAAGTTCGGGGAATGGCTGTATAGGCAGCTCTTAGGATCGTGGTTGTAAAACATTGTAGCGTATCTGAAATGGACGGTAAGAGGGGTGGAGGGATAGGTATAGTAGAGAGTGAAGTGAAAGTATGCCAGTCAGCTCTATCAGAGCACCAGCGTGGAGGATTAGGAAGTGGTACATATGAAGTAGGAGAAAGGATTACTGGGAAGTGGTCACTATAGGGGAAGTGGTCTAGAACTGACCAATGGAAATCTAAATGTAGAGTAGGAGAGCATAGAGAGAGGTCAAGGCATGAAAAGGATTGTGTGCGCATGGCAAAGTGGGTGGGGCGATCTGAATTAAGAATAATTTGGTTATTTGTGAAGAGGAAGCGTTCTAGAGATCGGCCTCGAGAGTTGGTGATAGAGTCACCCCACAGAGTGTGGCGGCAGTTGAAATCACTAACTACGAGGGAAGGTGGTTGGAGTTGGAAAATTAGAGTTTCAAAGGCAGCAAAGTCAATGGGATGGGGAGAAGCAGACTGAAATCACTGTGATCCAGCGGCGAAGAAAGATGCGAATAGCTGTGCACGGCCAGTAGTTTGTATGGGAAGTATGACATAAGGTGTTTTATGATGGATAAGTATAGACGAGACATAAAGGGAGTGTGGGGAAGAGATAAAATGGTAATTGGGAATTGGAATAGGAGGGTGTGTGAGGAAAGTCTCTTGGAGGCAGATAATAGATGGATTATAAGAAGCAAGGATATGACGTAGGTCTGGTCTATGAGAACGGAAACCGCGAATATCCCAATGTAGGAGAGCTATAGCTTATGAGTGATATCGCATACGGTACGTATTGGGGAATCTGGGGGAGAAGGAGCTAGGGGGTGTGAAGGAGGGGTATTAGGAGGTAGGGAATCTGGGGAAGGGCATTGTTGTGACATGAGTGATTCTCGTGTGTATCCGGGAGGGAGTGGAAAGGATAGAGGGGATGGAGAGAGGGAGAATGTGCCTATAGTTGGGGTTGAAGGGGGTGGATTGTGTTGGGATGGAGTAGATGTGGGGGGAATATTAGTGGTAGGAGGATGGATATCGGAAGGATGGATAGTTGGAGTTGAAGGGGATGTGTTGTCTTGGGAGGGATTGAGAGGAAGGGGTGTAGGGGTGCTGTGAGTAAGAGGGGGATGGATATCGGTGGTGGACGGAATTGAGGGGGTTAGGTTGTGTTGAGAGGGAGTAGGAGGACGGGGTGTAAGAGGTGAATGGATATCAGGAGGATGGATATCGGTGGTGGACAGAATTGAGGGGGTTAGGTTGTGTTGAGAGGGAGTAGGAGGAAGGGGTGTAGGGGGAATATTAGTAGGAGAGGTATGAATATCGGCAACCACTTCAAGTGTGGAAGGAGCATGAGTTATGGGATCTTGTGTCTTAAGCATATAACTTTGGATGTCATCCATTGTTTCTGCAATGGAATTGATTGGAGAGTTTGGTGGGAAGATAATTGTTTCTGTAGTGGAGTTGGTTTGGGAGTTTTGTGGGATAAAGCTTTTCTTATGAGGGGGGGAAGAGGAGACTGGTGTCTCAGGAATAAAGGTAAAGGTAGATGAAGGTGATTGTGCTGTAGGGGATGGTTAATGGTTAATGATTATTAATGGTTAAAATAAATGTGCTAGACATCTAAGGTCATATAGCACTATACTATAGGAAGGTATAGTAAAGGAGGATTTCAGGAGATAGTTGCTGTGTCAACTATCTAGAGTAGTGTTGAAAGGTTGAAGATGGGGGGAAAAGGTTATGGTGTTTTAGCAGAATCTGTGGGATTCTGTAAGGATGTCTGATATGTTGGGAGGTCGGTGAAGGGAGGATAGGTGTGGAAATGCAGAGGTACGTGCTGTATTAAAGCGTGGACAGGACAAGAGAATGTGTGGAACTGAAAGAGGGACGTTACATAGAGGACATAGGGGCGGGTCTGAGCGTGACATTAGATAGGCGTGTGTTAGGCGAGTGTGGCCAATACGTAAGCGTGCGAGGGCCGTCTCCCAACGTCTGTTTTTTGTGAAATGGAGCTGACTAAGAGGAGATTGATGGTTTTACAGTATGTAATTTATTGTTGTGGAGTCTTGACCAAAAAGATTGCCATCGGGTATACAAGGTTTTAAAGTGGGGGTAATAATCCGTAGCTGGAACATGTGAGAAGCGTAGTTGAGGTGATGTGGACATTGCGGCATAGCGTGCAAGAGTATCTGCCTGTTCATTGCCAGGGATTCCAACATGGCTGGGTACCCAGCAAAATCTGACAGATTTGTGACGTGTGGATAAATAG